AGCAACAAATATAAAAACAGCAACCAAGAATATGATCTGCTTGATTAAAACTGTGGAGGCCCTCTCAAAAGTGTGTTGAGTATCCTGATTTTATAGTTGGATACCTTATTTAAAAAAACATGAAATAATTCTAGATGTATTTTCAGGTTTCATAAAAGAGGAGATACTTGATGAAGGTTTAGCTTCATTCCGACCATTCCAACTTCCTGAGAAACAGCAGTAACTGAAAGCAAATGTCAGTTAAAGGAAAAGACATGAAAAACTTAGGAAGGACTATTTAAAGCACATACGAAGTGTCAACACTTGGCTGAGTGTAAAGTAGTACCAAACCCAGTGTATTAAAGGTAGAAATCATCGTGTCATATTAGCCGTGAAGTAAAATGCAGTCATGAGTGTCACAGGCTGGTGTGCTCTTGTTACATTTTGGTACCTGCTTTGTATGTTTGAATCCTGAATAATCTTGTTGGTAAATAGGACACTACTTATATCCTCAATTATTTGATGCGTTTGGGCTATACAGAGAGAAGCAGGATGGTAAAAACGGCATTCTTGAATATTCAACTGGGGTATTAAGTAACCTTTCCTACTTCTGGACACTTGTGTTTAACATGAAATAACTTTGTTTCTCAATTAGCATACATCAGGGCGTGTTGCCTTTTGACCTAGGAGTATGTTGTCTGTCTAATTATCCTTTGTATTGTTATACTGTTCCTTGAAACTATCCAAACAATTTGGTGTGGCCCTAGCAACCAAACAATACTGTTTAACAGAGATTTCCTACGGCACTTGCTCCCAGATTTCCCACGTAGCACTAGCTCGCATCAGAGCAAACAAACAGGATATTGTTTCAAGTGAATAACGCTCAGTGTTTTCAAGCGATTTATGAAAGTAGTTTTTTTGTTTTGTTTTGTTTTGAACTGTAGCAAGTGGTATGATTTTTGGTTCCTGATTTAATCTGAAGTTCTGTCAAACGGTCCATGTTTTGAAGCTTCAAAACAATGTTTGAAACTTAAATTTTCTCTGGCAGCTAAGAGCAGGGAATGGCTTATGCTTTGATGGCAAAGAATAGCAGAAAGAAATTATTTAATCCTGTCGTGTAATGAGATTTTTTTTTCCCCATTAAACATGCTATTTAAAAACCATGTAGACCCTTCTTACAGTGTTATCGATTGCAAGTTCATGAGTAAATAAATCCCACTGAACATAATTATACCAGATAATAATGTTGTTTGACCTAGTTAAGAAGTCTGATAATAGATTTTGGCTTTTCTTTAAGGAACTACTATATATCTTCTTATTAAACACAGTCAGGCTCCCTCCCCTTTTCCCTCCTGTGTTTTTTTTTTTTTTCTGTGTGTGTTTAACTAACTCACTGGTTTTAGAAACCCACTAACTTGTCATATACAAGGCAAGAGTCATTTGTGTGAACCATTAATGCTGTCATGAATTAGAGTCCTCAGCAAGTTCACAGATGAAAGTAAATCCTAGTCATTTATTCTGCCTATTGAATACCCTGGCGCATTTCAGCAAAACTAAGATATTTGTAATCCTCTCGTGGCAGCGTTTGTAACTGCTTCAGTTTGACATTTTTTTCCCTTGTTTTTCGGGGGAGTTTTATTACCAGCTGAAGAGTTTGTGTGTGTGAGCACAGAGATTAGTAACGTGTATGACTGTAGCAGATAACCTTAACTCAGCTTTTGCTGCTGGAGGAGTAAAAAGGCAAGTGCTGTCCCTGCGTTGACTCTCTCCTTTGTGCTGGCGCAAGCGTATGTGCGGTCATGTGGTGAGTGAATTGGACAAGTGATTGTGTCAAAATTAACCTGGGGAAAAAACCTAACACATATGTTGCTTTTCCAGTTCAGTTCACTTATACAGCTGCACGCTTGTGTTTGCTTGCGCAGGAGGAGGGTGGCACATGGAAGGAGATAGCTGGCTGGGAGGGATCTCATCCTGTGACAGTACTGCAGCTGATGCCATCTGAAGGGGGCTGTGTGAAACTGTAGCCGAGGAGCGGGGTCCCTGGCACTGCAGGCTGGTGTAAGGCTGTCCTGGTAGCATGTTCCCCCGGCTTCATGGTCGTACCCTCTGCCTTGCATTAAAATACCTGCAGTGCTTCTGGGAGCTGGTCTGGTTGTAGTCCAGTTGCTTCCTTTTTTTTTGTGCCAGGGTTAGGTTTTTGTCCAGTTCACTCATTTTGAGTTGATTTTCTGCGTTGTTGCATGAGCCTGGGGGGAGGATTTGCCTGGGTTTACCTCAGCCTAAACAGCCGGGGTGGGGGTTCATCCTTAGTGAGAAGGATCTGTTTTGTAGCTTTGAAAGTTAACATACTAAGATAGCCTCTTACTGTGGATTAGTTTACTAATGCAAAGTAAAGATAGTACTTTGAAGATGATCAGCTCTCAATGTTTTCCTGATTCTTAAATGACAGGGGCTTTTTAAGGTCATCTTTTGAAAACTGGAGACAGAAACGTATTGTGTAAACACGCTATTAAGACTTGTCAACATAAAGCAAATCTAGGTATAGTTCTGGGTTAGTCATTCTCGGTTTCCCTATAGAAAGAGAAGAGCTGGTTGAGTACCAGCTTCTCATTCTTCAGGAGTGTGGGCTGGACCAGAGCTGTGGCACGTTGCCTTAGTCCCCAGCCCTGATGATGTGGGGATTGTGGCATACTCCAGGAGGTGAGTCTAGAAGGAGTCAAAGCAGCTGTTTTGCTAAATTTCTTCTGACCAGACACAGCTAATGTGTCTCTCAGAAGAAAGACTTAAGGCTCTCAAAAGGAGACTTAAACTTCTCATTTCTTTCCAGTCTGTTAGCTACAATATGTGATTTAAAATAGAATAGAGTGCAATTTGTCTGTTGAGTAGAACAAAGCTTTAGCTTTCTTAAAAACTCCCATATTTAGGATAGAAGCAACTGTTTACCTAGAAATGTCGCGTATCTGTTAGGAGTCCTTAGGTACTTGACTTTTTTTTTGTTCATCTGCAGATGAATATGAAAGGAGAGTTGTTCAAAATCTGTGTGTTGCGGCATTTTTCTGTTTTGTCAGTCCCATATTGGTGTTTCTGTTTGTAAGGATATATTTCTTCTTTTCACCTCTTCTCTCCTCAAACCTCTGTGCTCTTGTTCTTGACATATAATGCATCTCTCTTGTTTCCTGAGCTGCCTTTGCAAACATCGGGGCTTCAGAATGACAAGAGCACAGATGCTGGAGAAATGAAATATTTCTAAAGTGCCTGACTGATTTGCTCTTCTGTACTGAGAGACAAGCCAATCATCAGATATGGGATAAGAAAGAATTTTTCTTTCAAGTCAGGTATTTTGGGTTGTCGCCTTTCTTTGCGGCATGCACTTTGGTCTGTTTCCGAACACCTTTGTGTACTTTCATCTAGCGAATTTCCACCGCGGGGATCTAGAACATGGCAGCGTCTTTGATCTCCCATTGCCTGCGCTGTGTGGCACACGCTCTTCTGTGTCTTCTAGGACCTCTGTTACCCAGATCAAAGTGTTAGAGGATGTTCAGAAATGCTTTATGGCATGCGGAGTGCTCGCATGCCGTTCTGGTGGTGCCCCTGGTTGCTGAGAACTCAGCTCTGTGACCTTGGCGAGTCCTTCCAGCCTCAAAGACGGCATACTGCAATTTATGTTCAGGAAAAAAACAGGCATTACTCCCAACTAAACAGTGAGTTTGTACAAATAATACTTGGGGTAAAAAGCACAGGTCATATGTAGTACTCACAACCTTCCGCTAGGTAACCTTCCTTTTTGTTTAGAGGCTAAGGTAGTTGTGACTGTTCTGTTTTCAGTCCCGCTGAATTGCTCGCTTCACTAGTGAGTTTGATAAGTGATTATTTTCAATGGAAGTCCAGGAAGTCTGTGTTACATAACATGTAACTTTCTGAACTGATAGAAGAAATTATGAATGGCTGAGACTCAAACTTGGGAAGATGCGAAGTGAAGTACAAAAAGTTTGGTCTCCGTGGCAACCAGTATTTTCATGAATGACTCGAACATTGAAAAAATGTTTGAGTAAAAGTTGTGGATAATATTTAGCTAATAGGAATTGCACAGGTACAAGTTGGAAACACGTAAAAATTTTGCAAGTTCATCGAAATTGGCCAAGTGCATCTCCTCACATTTTAAATGCAAAAAGCCTTAAAGAAGCTTACCTGAACAAATCCTGGTATGTAATACAGTAAAACAGACTGAAACTAGGCTCCCTGTCCAACTATCTTAGGAAAATAAAATCTTAATAACAATAGGTAAGAATTCTTAGTATCAATTCCTAATATCAATTAAAAAATAACATCTACAGTCATGGAGTATGCTAGAGAAATACCAAACCTTTCTGGGTAGATCTGGGGCATTGTTAGAGATGTCAATAGTTATTTTGATTTATAGTGTGCACGACAAGAATTGTAATTATTTACTCTAATTGTTATGTGTGTGTTAAACCCATGTATGAATGAATTCTGATACCTGATTTTCGGTACTGCAATTCACATTGGATGGCATCTGTGTTAATAAAGAGATGTTTTTGCGTGCTTAGGGAGAAAAATAAAGGTGGATAAATATATATAAACCTAGTACATGACAATTTCAGTATAAAGGTGAAAGCACTAATCCTAAGAGAGAGAGAGACTTGAACTGAAGATACAAGATATTAAAAGATGCAGTCTTTATCATGATAATCATATAGTTCTATTCAAAACAGGGCAGTTCACAAGGCATAAGGCAGTTTTCCATTCTATCAGTAACAAAAGGGTTTACATTGTAACTCATTTATGCAACTTTGAGTAGAATTTCCCACCTAAATAAAGTAAAAAAAATAAATCTTGTTGGATGTTACAGCTAGTTATTTCCTCCCCCTGGTTTACAGAATTTACTGTGTGAATACCTCTGTGTGGTGGATGGGAAAGCAAAGAAGTGACAGGCACTGTATTTAGAAGCTCTGATTTATAGCTCCTTATTTTTTCTTTTTTTTTTTTTTTTTTTCCTGTAGCCTCCACGCCACCCAGCAGAGTAAATAAACGCAGAGTTTCTCCAAGTGTTGTTTCCACCTGGGAAAAGAGAGGCATCATCATGTCTAACATTACTATTGATCCAGATGTCAAACCTGGCGAGTATGTCATCAAAAGCCTCTTTGCTGAATTTGCTGTTCAAGCTGAAAAGAAAATTGAAGTTGTAATGGCTGAACCTTTGGTGAGTCCTTTTTTTCATAATATCCCTTGAAATGAACCTATTTTTTCTAAAATAGGTTGATTTATCGTATGTGTGGTTACTGAAAAAACCATCCCCGGATATTGTTGACTTTTCAAAAGGATTGCTTCAAGGATAAATCGGCTTCTGCAAACTGGGTTGCTACCTCGATTATGTTTTATTGACTTCCGTTAAAACTGTTACATAGTGGTTACTGGAAACAAGACCTCTTAGTATTCCTAAGTTACAAAAGGAAATAGCGACAAAAAAAATGTTCCTTCATTAACACTGTGAATTTCCTGTTGATGTTTCATTGAAATAATAGTTCGGCAATATACTTTCAAGAAAAGATGTATTGGGTTTGTTTTCCCAAGTAATGACACTAACACCTGGAAGAACACAGTCCTCAGCATATATTGCCCATCAGGCAAAATGCAAAATTCTGTTGGTGATCCAGACCGTGTGATCTTGAAATAAGTGGATTTTTTTTCTAACTTGGAATTGTCTGGAAAAAAAAAGAAAGAAAAAGAAAAGAAAAGTTGGGTTTGTTTTTTTTAACTGGGAAATTTGCTAGGCAGGCGAGATGCTGCAGCTCACAGAAGGCCGCTGTTTGCAACTGCTGCTTGCAGAAGTGGTCACATGCAGAAGAACACATGTGAGCACTCGAGCCCCAGTTTTGAAACTTTAGGAAAAAATATTATTAAGAAGCAGTCCAAAAGAACACAAGAATGGGGCTAAACATGTTTTGTGGTGTCACCGATGGAATCATCTTCAACTAAAACCATTAGTGGATCAAAGGCTGAGGAAAAAGAAACATTTCTTTAGATGCACCTACTTAGGCATACCTTATATATATGTGTGTGTGCATACCAAGCAAGCCTACAACTTTAACATAACTTGTCCGTTTCCTTAGAGACATCCAGAAGAGTCAGGTATTCAGTAGGGTTTGATATGGGGTTGGACTAGATGATCTGGGGGTTGGACTAAATGATCTCCAGAGGTCCCTTCCAACCCTAACCATTCTGTGATAAGAAATCACAGACACTTTGTAGGAAAAGGGACACGCAAATGGCAAAGGGGTAGATGGCGAAGACATGAGAGGGGAGCTCTCGGGGTGGTGATGCTGTGGGTGGAAAGGCAGGTAACTCTGCTCAGGGAGGGCTGCGAATGCCGCTGCCTCGGCCCCTTTTCCGTTCGTCTGCTGAATGTACAGGAAGGGCAGTGCTTGGCCAGAAGGAAAATGACTGGCTGTAATTCAGATGAGCTGAAGAGGGCTTTTCCTGTAGACATAGCTAGTTCAGAGTTAAATCTCCTAACCGGAATACTGGTAGCAAGGTAAATATAATAGTCTTGGAGTTCACTTGTGCTGCAAAACTTGTCCCTAGACCAGATTAAATAAATACTCTGACAACAATCCGGGGCTGTGTCTCCCTGCCATGCTGTTGACTGTTAGTTAAACAAATGTTTTAAAAACTGTTAATCATATAAAATCGAAACATCTTGCCAAATTAAAAATTAAGAGAACCCATGAAACAAATGAAATAATGCACTTTTCGAAGGAGAGTGATTCCCAGCTCCGTTGTCTGGTGAGGTTTTATGGTGATGGCATGAAGTCTGCCTTGGTCAGGATCTTTTACTAATAGGATTCTGAAATCGATATTTTGTGTGTGTACAGTATGTATAAAATTATTTGGGATAAAATCAGAAATTATAAATATTACTAGAGTAGTCATTGGCGAAGGTCTTTAACAGTTCTGTATGGGTTCATTTATCAAGTTGAATTCACTTAAACAAAATACTTCTTAATGCAGTCAAATGTAAATTTACACATGTAGCCAGCATGCCTTATTTTATATTGCTGAGAAGGAAGGACGACGTAGAAAACCAGCAATTAAAAGAGCTGCCAAAAGCTGTGGAAAAATGAAACAACCTGAGCCTATGTAACACAAAGAGGTAGAAAGGAATCCTTAGGTGTCTCAATGAAAGGAAGTACTGAAGTGGGTTTATTTTTGTATGTAGTATTTGATATAAATACTGCATATTCTGTTCTAGTGTATGACTAAAAAGAAAGATGAAAGGCCGAAAGGGCACAGGAAAGGCACTGACTGTGATTGGAGAAAAGGCTTTAATGGAAGAGAAAAAAGCCCTTTATCATTTTAGTGTGATGTGATTTTGTGGGATCACTTGGCTACAAATTATAATGTGGGAATATATATAGTGTTACATAAATCTTTAATGTATTAGATGAAGCTAGGTTGTGGGATGAAGCTGATGGAGAGAATTTGGAGCCAGAGCAGTCAAAGTTAGGAGCTAGACATTTTTTAAAACTTGAAGATAAACATGCATTAGGGGAAGAAATTTATTTATTTATTTATTTATTTATTTATTTATTTACAGTTGGGGTGACAGAGCAGTGGCACAGGCTGCCCAGGGAGGTTGTGGAGTCTCCTCTGGAGATTTTCAAAACCCGCCTGGATGCAGTCCTGAGTAATGTGCTCTGGGCAATCCTGCTTTAGCAGGGGAGTGGGACTTGATGATCTCTAGAGGTCCCTTCCAACTCTGAAAATTCTGTGATTCTGTGAAGACAGCATGGGAATTGAGGGAATGGTACTGTTTTGGCTAGATGTATGGGTTTCATTTAGAACTGACTGACTTTGATTTTAAAAGGTAAATCAATGGTTTCTCTGTGAATTTACTTACAATACTCAGTGAATAACAAAGTAGTTTCCTTTCATTGATTTAATTAAGAGTTCTCTGCTTGCGAATTTTTAATACTGCAGTTTCCAAAGTTACAGAAAGAGCTTATCAGCAAAAGCTTAAAACAAATGATTTGAGTAGCGAGCATAACCATAGGAAGGAAGATCATCTTCTTAGTGAGTAAATTAAATTAAAACACTTTTTTTTTCTCTTAAATCAATCCTTCTAAGTCTTTTGTAGTAGTATATAGTTTTAAAGGAAAAAGGGCTCAAACTCAATGCATTGTAGCTTAAAATACTCTTCCTCGGCTGAGCAAGGGTGACTGTGAGGCATGATACCAGCCTTCTCCAAATGCGAAACAAGCTATACCAGTGAAAACGATGAGTGGTAAACTCAGTTACCTTGTATTTTGTCAGGCTCTGTGTAAGTATAAACGGTTAGAATTTAAGCAGAGAGTTTAACATGGTGCCACCGAGTTACCAAGCTGTTAACTAGGTAAGCTGCTAACTTACTAAATTGTAGTTCAGTCTCATGTTTAAGTCAAAACTAGCAAGAGTATGTAAGCCTGTTGCCAACAGCAGCGATTTTATTCCATCATGGAAATCCTAAACATTCCTCAGACTAGCACTGTACGCTTTTGCAGGTCTTGCCTAGCTCCTTTCAAAAGCTTGTCTGAAGTCGATGAAATTTAGCACACTGCATTTCTTCAGCGCAGCGTTTCTCCTGCGCCGCTCTGACGCCGGGGCAAGGATGCAGGCGGCTGCCCCGCGCTTGGGCTACAGCGGGCAAGGCAGCATCGCTTCTCTGGTGTCTTTCCTGCAGCTTGGAGGACAGAAACAAGTACGCTGGCTTTGCTGTGCTCACCTGAGCCGCCCTGCTGAGGTGTGCTAGCCACCAGAGGACGGTGCCGGTGAACGCTGGAGAGGGGCCAACGGGTGGTACCTTTTTCCAGGGGTGCAGTTGTTTGCACAGCACATGCACGTCTGTCTACATCCTGATCTCTGCTGCCTGCCATATGTTGACATTTCTGCTTTACACAACGGATGCAAACTGCTCTTTGGTTAATTCAATAGTGAGGCTTTTTTTTTTTTTTTTTTTTTATTTCATTTGTGAAAGATAAATGTAGACCTATTATTTCCATCCCTCTCTGAACTTCAGGAGGCCAGGAAAATATATCTTAAATTATTAATTCAGTGAAAGTTTCCAGACCTTTACTTTATGCTGTTAGATAGGTTTTTTTGTAAGTCATGTGAGAGGACTGGGGCCATGACAAAGCAGAGTTAGAAGATAATTCAAAGGCCATGATAAACCTGTGACTGGGTTAAAGAGTATTACTTGGTTATGTCACGTTTGTTTGGTCAGTGTTACATTAACTACGGTGATATTTACCTTTTAGCAGTTAAGATCTTTAATGCTGAGGAAAAATAATAGAGAGGATTATGAATTTGTAAGATCTTCATTCTTTCTGATACTAAAAATCTTAAAAGTGATGTCAATACTTGATGTACAGAAGTGTCTCAATTAGTATAGAATGTGAGAGAACAAAAGCTAAACTTTCAGAACCATCTTAAAAATAGTTTGCTGTCCGTTGACGTGGATTTCAACTGCTTCATCTGAAGACTTGCAGATTATTTCCCTTCTCTTTGTTACCATTCTTTTCTTTAGCTATTTTTGGTTTTAGATGCATGCGGTGGGTATAATAAAGGCAGGGTTTGTTCACCTGTGTAACAGTTTTGTAGTACCGTGATGGAAACGTGGCACGTCAGGGCATTGTATCATAGGGAAGCCTAAGAAACCCAACTTTTACCATCTTCTTACAGGAAAGTCACTTCTCCATCTTCTTGGGAAATAGTTTTCTATTTTTTTTCCTTCAGTGTATTTAGCAATATAAAATGTTTATATAGGGTGGAACATTTCTCGTGTTTCTGCTTTATAGATAAGATTACAATTATTTGTGCAGTTTATCGAAAAGCATAGTACAGATAACATGAATTCACCTACAGTAGACGTTTCCTTATAAGAAAAAGGAGGGGAGGGAGGAAAGGGGGGGAGGGAGGAATTCTGGTTAAAAGGAAATTCTGATTTGCAGGTGCTCTCTGGAGCTTTTACTATCTGCTGCAAAAGGTCAGTTCTCATAACAGTAGTTTGAACAGACTTAACATGTAAAATTATATGAATTTGTATGATTCAAAAAAATGTTTACTTGCCAGTATCTGAAACCTTTTCCCCCTTGCTTTTGCATACACAGTGAAAGAACATTGGGTAATACATCTTTTAATGAACAAATGAAACTGTTACAGAATGTTAAATGCATTCTCCTGAAAACACCTTATTTTTTAAAATATTTTTAGTTCAGGCATACTGGAAATGTACATAAATGACTGTTTTCTTAGCCAGTTAAGTGGTTTTCATTGATTATAGAAAGTGAAAATGGGCTGACTTCTGAATTGGTGCCTATATTATTTCAAGTTGTACTTTCAGAGTAGGCAAATGCTTTTTGCCTGGGCAATGTTGCATTCATGTTTTCAGAGGCTGTAATAGTTGCAGAGATTGTGTCCTTCTGAACACCGAATACAGCTGCGCTCATAGCAGAAAATGCCATAAATTGCCTTGTATTTTCAAGATTATGATTAGGACAAGCAAAAATAAGCTGCCAGTTCGAATCTTGGACTTGGTACGTGAATCCCTAATTTGTATCTGTTTAACATATAGCCTATTGCAGCCTTTAAGTGTTAAATGCCAAGCAACTTTGACTTCTTATTTTTGCCAACACCCTGGCAGCGCCGGTGTTGTCTCTCACTAAACTACTTTGTGTGAACTGAGGCACAACCTGTTGAGAGCAGTACTGGTTACTAGTATCGCTGGCACCTCCTTTTACATCCCAGACCAGGCAAGTTAACAGCTCTTCCAGCTTACCACTTGACCTAACTTGCTCCATAAAAGCTCTTTGTTTGCTTACTGCAATGTAATGGGAGCTATTAACCCCTTACCTTGAGTACTTTTTCTACTTTGCTCTTCAAAGGTAACATTTTTAATTCATTTATAATAAAGTGAAATATAGTTTAAAAGTTATTTAAGTAGCAAGAAATGCTAATCGCACCTTTATATATCTTACTGTTTTGTAGTATGCCCTTAAAGCTGTTACTGTGGCACTTGGCTTATTGTAAATCATTGACCCTCAGAGCCAGTACACGGCACTTAGTCTTTTTGTCTTTTTTTCTCCCCCCCCTTCCCCTTTTCTCCTAGAAAGTAAATTCCAGGATAGCAACAGACTGTAAAAGTTGTATTTGTTGTAACTGTATAATTTTGTACTCTCCACAGTGACTAATAAGAATTACTATTACATTACTATTATGGTTCAAGAGTGTTTTGTTTTTTTAATGTTTTAATTCTCACTAAATTATTTTGTCAGGAATGTAATTTAATTCTACTTTTAACAGAACAGTATGTATTATGGTACTGGTAGCAAGGAAATATTGTAATAATTAAATTCTAGTAATACTGCATCTTTTCTATACCTAACAGAGTTATTTCAAATGTAAAGCAAGTTATTGTTGCCATTCTCCTTTTCCTGGACTAGCTTTTCTAGCTATTTTTCATCGCAGTTCAGGGAAAGCGCAGATTGGAAACGCATTGAACAATTGTCTCTGCCTTTGTGAAGGCATTTTAAAATTCATTCTTGTCGCTTACAATAACTGCCTTATATGAACATGAATATGCTTGTTAATTCAGATGGGAACGGCTTTCCTTCTAAGTTAGACTTGGCACCCACCACCAGCTCTCTCTGTTAAGCCCACTGCTGTAGGCCCTGCTGTTTGGGAGAGCGGTTTGATGTTTTCTGTTTGTCAGTCTTTAACACTATTACTATTAAGCTGCCAAATTCATTTTAGATCTGTATTCTTCTAATTTGTGAGCATACTTCACATCTTCAGAAACAGTTCTAGCTGATAAATAATGCAAATATTCACATTAAAAGTTATTTCTTTGTTCTGTAATATAACTGAGAAAGGAGGAATCTTTCTTTAATAAGTCAGTTGCATTGTGAAATTCATCTTTCATATCTTTTTTTTTTTAACAGGAAAAGCTCTTGTCCAGATCTCTTCAAAGAGGTGAAGATCTTCAGTTTGATCAGGTAGGAGACATGTAATTGAAGGCAGTTTTTATTGGATTAAGGTGGTCTCTGTTTTTGCAGAATAGTGGTTCTACTGTTGTAATGATTTAGATCGTCCACGTCTGAAACAGCATCAGAAGATTTAGACCTTGAATGTTAGTTAGACTGTTTTCCGTTGTAGAATATGATAGTAAGAAACTACTAGAATAGATTAATTATTTGAAGGTGGCAGTGAAAGTTGCTGTAGGAAAGATGCTGAAATATGTTAGGGGAGAGGAAAAACTTAAGTTCTTTCTGTTCCTGTTAATAGGCTTTGTGTAACATCAGCCTACATCACTTACTGTTTCAGTATTAGAGATTCTGCTTTTATAGTGTTAATTTCAGTAACAGGCCCTTTTACTGAGGGCTCTTTGATTTTATAGCAGAAGGCATAAGGTAGATTCAAAATGTTACTTTGTCCTTTGCTGAGTACATAGTTGAGGCTATTCTGTTTCACTTACTATAAGCGAACTGTACCTGGAATAACTATCTGCTCAATTTTTTTTCATGTTTATTATCTTTATTTCTAATCCTTTCATAGTATAGGCGTGTTTTTGTCCCGTAACTACTTCCTAGCAATGGAGAGGCAGCATTCAGGTGAAGCCCCATTAATTGCTGTTCCTACTCTTAACTGTTACTGAATAGCGTCTTACGGTATGAAGTTTAGTGTTCTGTCCGTATCTTCTGTAACTGGATTTTTGTTCCAAGTGTTCTGTTATTCCTCAGATACACGTATTAGACAATGCAGTGAAATCTGTGGACCTGCCCCTACTTTTCACTGAAGAGCCATCTGTGCATCTCTCTTCCCTCCTCCCCAAAGAGAAACAAATTAATAGCATGTATAATTTTCATTTCAAAGAAAACCAAAAACAAAACCACCACCAACCCCCTCACATAGTCTTGTAAGGCTGTTCATCTCCTAAATCAAAGTTTACTCATAAGCAAGCAAAATGGGGGTGGTGGTGGTGGTGGTGTAAATTCTTTGGTGGATACAGTATTTTGTTTTAAAGCTGAGTGAAACCTAAATAATTTGCATGATAGGGATGATCTAAGGAAATCTGTAAATCAGTAATACTACTAATTTTTCTAACGACTCTACCCCCAATCCTACCTCCACATTTTTCCTCAGTTAAAGATGTTTTTTATACATCGCTAATAGTCATGTATTAAACTATGTATAGGTTCTAAAAATATGCTGAGTGAAGAAAAGTAAAAAATAAAGCATATAACATTTGAAATCTTGTAATATAGAAATAAGCTCATTTTCCTGAAAATGCAGTACTTTAATTTGTTTTGTTTGTGGGTCTATATATGTGTGTGTGTGAGTTCTTATTTTGTTATTTGTGGTCTACTTTGGGTTCATTGAGATCTGAATTTTAATGGTACTGAATAACTACTTTAGAGAGTCAGAGCGGAATGGCTCCCTTGTGGCGACAGGGATTGTGAATTTTGAACATTGTTTGGCAGAAGGAATTAAGATCACTTCTCTCTGTTCATTGCTGGGTATATCAAACCCGTATTAAGATCAATTCTCCAGCAGTGCAGAAGATTGCAGAGTAAAAACAGATTGGCAAAGTATGGAAGAGAGGAGGATGCAGAGTGCGCAGCCACAGCGTCCAGCAGAGAAGCCAGAGCTGTTGCTGGCCAACCTTGTTCACCCAGAGATCTTTACAGACTTAGGAATTCGAGTCTAGACAGTGACTTTACTGATAACGTGTCTAAGCTAGTAAATGTTGTACTTTGGGAATAAAAAGGATGGGATTGAAACATAAAAGGGACTCTGGGGAGTAAGAAGATATCTAGTTAACGCTCATTATCTCAGCTCAGTAAGCGATGAGAAGAGGGATGGAGGGGGAAGGTGTGTAGTATTGCCTGTCCCTATCATGAAAAAGAGAAGTAGCTGTTTAATGGGATTGTAAGTTGTTTATGTTGTAAGCATAACCAGACCAAGAGGGCTGCTATTAGATCCGCGTGTGCAAAATCAATAGTTTTTAATTTTCAGATAGTACAACTCTTTTATTTGTTCTTGAGGTTTTGATTGGAACAAAAATGTAAAATTAGCTAAAAAAGATGAAACTGCGGAAAATGAGAAGGAATTTTTCTGTTGATACAATTCTAAACTGTTAAAATTTTAGTACCAGTGCTTTCCCTTTATCATTCCCAGCACATCAAGAAGCTACTGGAGAGGAATTTTTTTATAGAGCATATATTGCATTTCTTAAAATATTTTTGCTTGTACAGCTTGAAACTGAAATAGCTTGTATTTTTCTCCTTTGGTTTGTTGTAGGAATCATACTTGGCAATTTCCTACTCTTGTCCTAAGGCACCAAAACTTTATGATCACGCAGAAGCCTATCTTGGCCATCTCGGTGCCTGAAAGCAGATGTGTCTCTGGGGTTCAGGCTTGTTCATGATTAGGCACAACTTAAGCAATGTGTTCAGAATCAGGATTGCGGCCATAGCTGGAATTTGGGCTCTAGCACAATTTTGCATCTCTCTCTCTCTCCTTACCTGTCAAGTGTACTGTTGGGTATGTGAAGTGCAGCAATTAACAATCTGTTACAGCCTTTAAGACTGGAGCACTCGTTGCTGTTCCATTCCAAGGGGTGCAAGTACACGTCATGACTGGTGCAGCCCTGTCCTCTTGGGCATTGCAGGATCTCTCGTTGGATTGCTGCTTTCAACCTAGTCATCATTTAATGCTAAAATGAAAAGGGTTTTCTTATAATTTTCGAAATTAGTATCCAAGCAGTATGGTAATGATTCTAAGTAAAAAGAATAAGCATATAGCTCTTGTTCTGCTTAGCGGCTATGTAATATGAGCAAAGGTTTCGTCTTCCTGATAATTCCAATGCTTTTTAATTAGAATGCAAAGGGTGCAAAACTTGACAGGAAAGAAATAATTATAGTGTGAAACTAATTTTTCATTTCAAGAGGAAAATGCTTTATAATATCCATAGTTTCTGAGTTTAGCACTTTACTGGTGTGTATTTACCGGGTATTTATTTTGTATGGATATCAGTGCACAAGGAACTGGCTTACAGCATGAGTGGTTTCCAAAACAAGTCATAAAGATTTCTATGTATTTTAGTATAAGAATGAAGGTATTCTCAAAATTTAGCCTTTGTTCTGAGATGAAAGGCATTATAGCAAGCTTTTACAGAGTTTTTCTAGCTTTCTTAATGAAACCTAGCTCCTGTTTGGATTTGCAATGTATGTAGTTTGTATTGTATACTGGGATTCAAATTTTTATGAATTTACAGAATAAGAATATGCTTTTACTTACTTTGAGGAAGTTTATCCACTTGTTTATATAATTAAAGGATTTTTCAGAGAGTCAAGAATACTACTTAATTCTTGTGACTTGAATAGCTGACTCCTTAACAAGCTGAGTTAAGTATTCAGATGGTTGAAAGAGATCTTCCTGAGGTTTCCACGTGGTTAACCTGTCCTTATCCCTTCCCCAAACCTGAAAAACCAAGATGCTCCAAATGAGGACAAAGAAATCGATGTTATCTTTGTTTTTCCAGAATAGTGAATAATAGATAAGCTATAGCATGAGGATGGCGTCCGTTGAAACCTCTTATTTGAAAAATGCAAGAGTTAATTAATGTATGGCATCAGTGAGACACGTGTTAACTCTCCTTTTCCAGCCTGTGCCTTGGGGATGAGCTTGCTCCCTGCTGCCTCCGGTCAGGGAGTTTATAGCTGCTTTCTGCTGTCTTTCTCCAGGCATTCTTCTCCTCCCCAAGCCTGGGCACTGATGAGTTCTGTTAAAGTTAATGGAAGCCTAGAAGAGAATTTGAGTTTCATACCATGTTAAAGTCATCTTTCTATAATGGTTTCTATTGCCACTGTTTCACTGATAAGTTTGCAACCCGTATGGGTTTTCTGAAAGAGAGCGGTACATTGGGGGAGTTATGCTGAAAGTAAATATAGCTTGAGAGCTAGACCAGTCGAATATATTAAAAGTACAGTAGAATATCTAAAAGGCTCTTATTTTTGTTTGTATAATAACCAAAGAAGCATGTTTTTGAAGGTTACGTACTTGCTCCTTTTAGGAGGGTCAGCTCTTATCTGTCATTTGTAATGTAAAGGTATGTGTACTTGAGAGATACATATGGCAACATTCAGGGACATCCTAAAATCTCTGCTGCTTTCTCAATGGTTTTATATGGGTTATCTTTATAAATTTAGGATTCTGTGACCCCTGTGACCTTTAGAACACTCTGCTTAAATTTACCATAATATTTGACTTAGTGTGTAATATTTACAGTAATTGTCGTAGGTGAGAACGACACAGAAAGTTGCCACTTTGCAAAATTACGGTTTTTAACATTGAAAACCAATTTGAAAGAATCATTACAATTCTAGGATTTTTAGATTGCTTTATCATGCTAAACTATTTTTCTTACTTTTTTTCAGTTGATAAGCTCTATGAGCTCAGTAGCAGAGCACTGTCTCCCCTCCTTATTACGCACCTTGTTTGACTGGTACAGGCGTCAAAATGGAACAGACGATGAATCTTATGAATATAGACCTCGATCTAGCACAAAATCAAAGGGGTAAGAGTTTTCCTTGCAAAAGCCTGTTTGATTTTTGTGTGCTTTCTTGTAAGAAAATGTGTGGTTTGTACTTTTTTGACAAGTATTTTGTATTTGGATTTGTCAATGCCTAAATCTGTGTAGAAAGAGCATGGGCTTCTTTGAGGTACTGGATTTAACTTGCATAGATGGTATGCATGAAGTGACTTGATTTTGGTGTTGGTATACAAAAGGAAGTTCGATGCTGATAATTCCAAGCTAGTTTGTCCCTGTTCTAATTGTTTTGGTTGTTGGCAGGTCCATTCAGGAGGGGGGGCAAGATGTTAGTGCTGCACCAAACCCCCAAAGTCTTTCTAACCATCCATTTTAGATACGTGTGCAACAATGATGGCATGAAAGCCATGTGCACCCCTTCTGTGTAATATTTGTGGTGTTGTGAATAATACATGTATTCTTGGTCTCTTATTTCAGGGATGACCAACAACGTGAAAGAGATTATCTACTTGAAAGGAGGGACTTAGCTGTAGATTTCATTTTTTGTTTAGTTTTAATAGAGGTTCTAAAACAGGTAAGCTCTTTTGGTTTGGCAAACTTCTTTTAATCTTTTGCTTCTAAAGTCAGTTTTGATCATCTCCTTTACATTTTTATATTAAAAACTGGAGCATATATATGATGAACATGTGCAAGGCTACAATTGTACATAAAGTTATATAAAGCCTTTGGCCCCTTCTGTCTTTTCTTTACATGCCTGCATTATCTCAGTTCACATGTCTTGGATCCACTAAGTCAAAGCTTCTGATGTACTGCAAAAAGCAAAACTGTAAAAAATATAACTTTTTATTTATGTTGAGTACCTTTTGTCTGCATAAATAGTTTTGAAATACAATGTGAAATGATTGAACAACAAGATTAAGATGTCACTTTTTTAAAAAATTAGAAAGGGTCTGTAATTTTGCTTGGCTTTATTTTAGTGCTAGATGATGTCACACAATTTCTGTTAAGATAAAATTTGCATCAGTGAATGGACAAGAGGATAGAGTTTGTCTTCAAGTAGCAGCGTTTTTTTCTTGTGTTTTTTTGAGAGGAGAAAAGCATTACTATAAGAAAGGGTTTGAAACATAAAGCAGACGAACAAATTTCGCATTTCAAATACCTAAGTAGTTTGTCTTATGTATAGATACATGAAAATTAAATGGCTTTCTGTACTATGTAAAGCAAGGACTGTGGTTTAGTTTGCAAGTAATTTGTTGGAGATTTATGTTTGTGTGTGTGGCATGTTTGTGATACAGGGAAGAAATGAAAAAAGTGAAACGAGGGCTGCCTGTCCTTCTCCGAGAAACCTACCAGTCATCCAAAGTGATATTTTTATGCTGCATGCACAGAGATTCAGAAAACAGTATTAAAACCATCAAATTGTTATGTATTAGTGTTTTGCAGAAAATCTTTAGTTCATCCTCTCTCCCTGCCTAAATTTTCTATCAGTGCAAAAGAAAAAGGGAAACAGACTAGGTTGTTTAGGATTGCAGGGTTGTGTGGGTAGCTTCTGTATTTTGAAGTGGTACTAGTTTTTCTGTTGAGTTTTACATGTTGTCAGTGAGAGGTGCCAAAGTTTTGGTCTCGCAGAGAGCCTGTGCTGACTCCTGTAATGCTCGGGGAGCCTCTCACGCTTCTGCTCCAGACAAGATAGGTATTTTTCTAATAAGGATATTTTCCTCTGCTAAAGACCTGCAATGGGCCACTAAACACAGATACACCACTTACTACAATCCTTCGGTCAATTTAATATTAAAAATTATCTAAAGGAGGGTTTGTATGTTCTGCCTGTAATATGAATCTGCAATTAGACAGTCAAACAAAGCACAGAAAGGATGGATTTTTATCAATAAACATATTTACATTCACATTACATATATCTGCCTGTCTTCCTGGAAGTCCTGTCGTTTAATTCTTATAAACTGGTTTTAGAGGGTGCAATGGGTATGATCCAGCCCTTTCTGTAATATGCACATAGCAAATGAGAGAGGGTGACAGACATGACCTGTGTAGGAACAAAAATCTTTTGCTTAAATGACTACATATTCCTCATTGTATGAATATGCATGTAAATAGCCGGTTCCAGTAACTGGAACTTCTTGGACAAATAGCTTTCTTGATGCAGAAGAGTATGAAATTCTCAAGCAGTAAGTGCTTCATTTTCTGTAGACAAGACAGTAATATTTTCTTTAATATTTATTCTATTTTTAATTTTAATAATTGTTTAATAGTGAAAATCTTTATCACTCTTAAGCAGTAAAGTTTAGTAGGGTTATTCTAGTCCCTACCTAAATTGCTTTGAAATTTTAAAGATACTGTGACTTCATAATTATATATAGTGCAATTCTTAAAGAATACATTTTACTTTTAAGCAAATGTTTTCTTTTAAACCCGAGAAAAGTGGTTATGTCAAAGAGAACCTCAGTAAAAATCACCTTCTAATCAATGCTTGGTTTTAGTTTCTCACCAAATTGTTACTTACTGCTAGGAAGATTTTTATATGTTTTGGCTGCTTTCACTTGCAGAAAATCTAAAATGGAGATGGTCATCTCTTCTGCATTCTTTTTTGGATTTGTCTTCCTTTATATTGAGACAAATTGCATTGTGAGGTTCAATCTGTAATAGTAATGGCACACAAGGTAGAAAGTGTGGAAAGTTGCATAGGAACCTACTCTGATAAATTTTGATGACAAATTCAAAGTGTTTACATTACTGTTGTTTATCCTATTATGAATTTAATCCCTAAAAGCCACTATGCAAAATAATTTGAGAATGTCAATACAGGTTGTGTAAACGTTCATATATTTCAGAATTAACTTGATATTGTATGCCAACAAAGGTTGTGTCCTTTGATACTAGTTGGAGAGATTTCTACAGGGCATCTCCCAGTACTGTGTGTGTACTTCATACGTACATACGTGTATATATAGATGCATAGTTACATACATATAAATGATATCTGCATTTCAGATACCTGTTCATCCAGTGCCAGATCCTTTAGTACATGAAGTCCTAAACTTGGCTTTTAAGCACTTTAAACATAAGGAAGGGTAAGTTTCACTTGTGTACTTTAAAATAGGTGGTATGTATTACCAGCCTGTGCTTGATTGTTGTGATTGTTCTCCCTTGCCTCACATGTAACATGTTGGTGATAATACTGTAAACAAACACTGTTTGGTATCTTTAAACTGAAAACAGATCTTGAAAGAATACAGCTGTGTTCAATATAATGGTGAGTTCATTTTGCTTAGAATGTACAGAATGGTTTGCATAGCCAGCCAGAATAAGAAAAGACCAAGTTTGGATAACTATAGTAAACTTCCTGTGCAGAATGTATCTTTTATGTCCGCTCAATGAAACTATATCACTTTAAATGTCACCCATGCATTTTATGTTTGACTGTCATTGCTTTTATGGTAATAATCCACCTTGCTACCTTGCTATGGAGCAAACTTGTTGTTTGTAATTGAGAACACGCCTGGGGTTTAGAAGAACAAAATTGTATTTAACACCCCCACCCCCCACCCCTTGCTTTTTTTTTTCTCTTTAGGTATTCAGGAACCAACACTGGGAATGTGCATATTATTGCAGACTTATATGCAGAAGTGACAGGGGTTCTTGCTCAATCAAAGTAAGTTCAGTCTCTGACTCTTCTTGCGTTAGGGGAAAAATTACTCTAGACTTAAAGACGATTCAATATAGTAGTGTTATTAATGACCCCAGTAACTAATCCCATAAGTGTCAAGCGTAGTCAGGTATAGTCTGGTGTGTCTGTCTCATGTTCCAGCACAATAAATTTGAACAAATCAAGAAATAATTTTTAGTACAATACGGAATTGCTTTGCTGTTAGCTTGTAGGTGCAGGGAGAGAAGGCCTGGTATCAGTCAACAGCTGTTGTTCAGTTAATGAGTATATTCTAATGTGCTGATCCTCATAGGCACTCTTAAATGCCTAGATTTTAAGTATTGGAATTCATCTTGCTTGTGTTTCCTTTACTGTAGGTGCTGATATCATTAACAGACAAAAGAAATCAGTTCAAAATTAAAGACATCATATAAAAGTAACTAAGAATGCAAATAATTGCCATCTATATCCCTTGTTCAGGTTTCAAGCTGTTAGGAAGAAGTTTGTCACTGAATTAAAGGAACTGCGACAAAAAGAACAGAGTCCTCATGTAGTACAAAGTATCATCAGTTTGATTATGGGAATGAAGTTTTTTCGAGTAAAGATGTATCCTGTGGAAGATTTTGAAGCATCATTTCAGTTCATGCAGGTAAATTAATATTTCAGAAAACTGAAATGAGCGTAATTTTGATTAAGTGATAAAGCTACAACGATGCTTACTGTGATCAGTCACTCACGCTACTTGGTGCTGTCCTTCATCCTTTTCTGTTTAGTTCATAAATTCTCAGAGATATGAATCATGTTTCTCTGCAGTTTGTGAGTACATAATGAGAACGCATTTTCAGTCGTCTCGGTAATGTGGCAAACCTGTAATACCTCAGTTTATTCAAGGCTAAATGAAAATGGGTAGCAATCAAATAATTTTCATTCTTTATGAAAGCAGGGAGTTAAAGAAAAGAAGTTACTTGATACATTTTTTTTAACAACTGAGATGCTAAGAAACACTTATTTAAAAAACACTTCAGTTAATTTTCAGAGACTTAAAATCTCTGTTTGCTTCTCTTGATTGTGGATTAAAAATTGTCCAAATGAATAACTGGCCCATTATATTGCAACTTGGTCAAAAATTTTATTAGAGCTATTTAACAGCCATTGACATTGATCTCAATCCTGAAAAAACTAACATACACCTGAGTGCTTTAGATTGTGGTCGGTTTGGTATAGCGGAGTGTGCAAACGTGTATGGATTATTTATGTCTGTCTAAAAGTTCCTGTGCATCAAAGTCATCTTGAAAATGACAATGAGTATATAAAAATCAAAATATTATTTTCTAATAATTTTAAGAGATAAGCATTAATTTTTAAAACTTCAGAATAATCTGAGGAAAAATGTGCATTTTCATATTCTGAGTAGAAAGGAAATAGCTAACTGGTATTACAAATGTTCTTTCAATTTTTAATTATTGGGGAAACAGGTTTTAAAGTTTCTAATGTTTTATAAAGTTGATGTTGTCAAGGAACATAAGACTAAGTTAAACACAGTTGCGCGTTTTAAATTCAAACTGTCAATTAATGTGATACTGCTAAGTGGGTTTTATGGCATAGTGACATTTGTCTTCTTTTTTCTAAATATTTTTCTAATGCTTCCTTATGAAGGAATGTGCTCAATACTTCCTGGAAGTGAAAGATAAAGATATAAAACATGCACTTGCTGGTTTGTTTGTGGAAATTCTCATCCCTGTGGCTGCTGTAAGTATTTTTTTTTTCCCTTGCTGTTCCCCTCACTTTCCATTGGGCTCTCATTGTTAAAATTGCTTCCTTTAATCCTCACAATATTACGTTTTTATGGATTCAAAAAGATCATTAAGGGAATTAAAAGCACCTACATAATCTTTTAAAGGGAAGTGTGTCAGTGTGATTTGTGTATTAGCTAGTTTCCAGTCTTTTTTCAGAACTTCTTAAAATTGTCTGTTTTCTAGACCCTTTTATCACCAGAGCACTGTGTAATCTTATAATTGCTCTACAAATTTGAAATTTCCTTGGTTTAATACTTAACTCAAGGGTCCCATTGACTTTTCTTTATTAGCTGGAACCTATTAAGTTCTTTCTAGAATTAAGGGACATATGTAACATTTTTACAGTCCAATAGGGAGAGTGTGGACTGCTATGCAAGAAGGAAGAATGTAGCTTTTGGCTAATTAAATGAAAATAGTTCATAGAGTTGAGTTGTCCACTCGATGTAATCCTTTAGGTGGAAGAGCAGTCAGTCATCTCCTTTATGTGTTTTAAATCTAAAGCCAGAAATTTTACTCAGCAGCCACGAACAAGAAAAAAAAACTCGCTATCATCACAGCGTTGGATGTACAGTGCCTGTCACGCTGCTTGTGAGAATGCTTTTGGTCAGGACAGGTTCTCCCCCTTCCTCCCAGGCCGCTTCGCTCAGTTGTGTAAAGCTTGGTCAGCAGGTCAACCAGAAGTTACGGCAGCTCAGTATACCTCAAGATGACCATTTACGACAAGCTCAGAAAGTTTCGTTGTAGTAAGATGGATAATTGCTGTGACTGTTGTCTAAAATGATAGTTGTATTAGACCACAGTTTGTTCGGCGTGCTGTCACAAAAAATGGCCGGTCATGGCTCCCTATAACAACCAATCACAGGGGTATATCTTGCTATATATGGAGAAGTGGGGCGTGTAGATGCTGTTTTGTAGAATAGGATCTACGAAGACTAGCACGCTGGGTGAGGATCCTGTCTAAGCAAGCTCATAGGAAAAAAAGATAAATCTCTCTGAACTCTGCATCCTCTTTCAAATGGTCTGCCTTGCCTTCAGCTGTGGAGGAGTGCTTCTCTCCCTTCACTGGTCTCAACCTTGGGTTTGGTCTATTTTGTTGTTGGTTGGTTGTTTTTTTTTTAATTAGAAAGGAGGTAGTCTTTCATCTTAAGGCATGACCATGAAGAGGTGGTGTTAGTAGCAGCTGCTTATTGATTAAAGTCTTGATCTTACCTGGACATACTTACACTCTTCTAGAGAAAAATTTCTTGTCCTTTTAAAAAGTGAACACATTTGTTGTTTTGAACTCTGTAGTTGCTCAGCAGTGGGAGTGGGAGTGCATAGTGAAAGTACTTATCATTTAGCTAAACATGAATATTAGTTTGCAAAATCATCATTTAAATGTAGTGAAAACTGCACGTACAGTAATGAGGCAGAAGCAGCCTTTGGGAATTGTGACTATCCGGCAGTAACCACGGAGGCACGCACACCGGCGGTGCAGAGCGCATGTGGTGTTTTATGGATGGCTTCCTACAAGCATAGCCTGAATCAGCGCTTTAAACTCTTGGTGAGGGAGGCTTGATCTTTCCTTCTGACTCACAGAGTATCTAATCATTTCATACAAATGGAGCTTCTGAAATAGAAGTGGAGAGCCCCATCCCAGATTGAGACGCAGTCGAGAGGGTTAGTCATCCTCTTGGAAGATGCGAGATGCAAGTTTGAATCTTTTTGAAGCAGATAAAGGAACTGAATCTAGATTCTTCCGTATCTTGGATACAGAAAATTGCTTAAGTGAGGAAGCTATTGCGTTTCAGCATTGTGGCTTCTTTACTGTCATTCTCTTGCTTAGTCATTCAGGCGTTTTTAAAAATATGACCTGATTTGGACCCTGCAGGTATGACGGATGACAGCGTATTTTACAGCGGGGAAGTTAAGGCAGGTCTGTAAGCCCAAGGTTATATCCCAGAGCAACAATGTGGTGCTGGCAACAACTGACTCATTTCTTGTGTGGAGCTAGTGGGGTACTGATCAATTTACAGCTTAAGAATAGCGGAAGAGAAATAATTTGAGGATATGTAGGAAGTGATTTAAAACATAACTGCTTTCTCAGTTCTTTGGTTTTGGATTTGTATTCATTAACGAGATATTGTACGCTATTTTTTATGCTTCCCCATCATGAATATTTTCACAATGTTCTTAGCAAGGTGGACATGACGTATCTTTTAATAAACTTGAGGAATAAAAAATAACAAAATATTACCTTATATTATAGGGAAATTAGAAGTATAGAGGATGTCTTCCAGAAAAGCCAATCCTCCTCTCCAACACCCCCCACACCCCCGAGTTTGATAAATAAAGCAGAAACACAGTATAAAACAGTAGGTTGAGAATAATGTTTGCATGGATCATCATGGGGATCCAGCGAGAAGCCTAAGAGACTAGCAGAGGTTTTGATAAAGAAGGTAGCTGCCGCGTTTGCGGAAGGAAGGCTATTCCGCGTGCAAGTACAGAGCGGGTAAAAAAGGTGTAGGGCTCCTTGTATCTGTTTCATTAATTCTGAAAGCTGAACAAAGACAATTTACAAAGTTGGTTAGCTGGTAATGCTGTGTATCATTTCCAAAGTTTTCAGTTTTCAGCACTGGA